ACTTAACAAATTTTATATCTTTTGTATTTTTAATAATCTTTTTAAATGTCGTGTTAATGTATTGTGTTATTTATATGCTTAAGTACTTAATATTTAAAATTTCTAGAGATTCTTGACTGCATTTGATTGTAAGATTAACTGTTTGACACTGTATTTTAAGTGCAATAAATTTTACTCTAGTGATTATTTTATTGATAATATAACCTTAATAATAATAAAACTTTATATATATTTATTAGGTATATATAGAGTTTTATTAATTTAATTTCCCTAAAAATATTTCTGTAATGAATTGAAGTTTTCAAAATATCAGTTTCCTAAAATTCAAATTAATTTAATTTTCTGGTAGACCTTACAGCTGATTATCGGACTACCGACGTCATAGAATGCGGTGTTGCCTTTTTTACTTCATGGCTTGGAAGTAAAGGTGGCTGTGGCAGTAGCTATGTAGCAGCAGATCAACAACACGAAAGATGTTGCTCAGCGGACTAAGATGCTGATCCCGAGCCTGGGTGGACTGTGGTTACAGGCGACTGAATTACTTCCTGATGCAAGTGCTCACAGGATATTTAAGGCGTATCTTCATTGGTTCAAAAAGACAGAGAGAAACAATGTATAAAGGAATAGGTATAAACCCTGTGCCTATGAGACAGATGATCGTGAAGATGACGGGAAGTAAGGAGGGATGGAGTAGTGTACACAATTCCATCCAAGCAGTCATTAAGCAGAAAGAAGAAGAGAAACACCAACAGGACCAACGACACAGACAAGATCTAGATACGAGAAGGAAGTACTCCGAAAAAGTCGTCAGCGTTAAAGCGGCCTTTCGGAGTACGGTACTTGGGACAGTCAAATGTGCACAGGTAGGAGAGGGTGATTTTAGTTGGTAGGCAAGATAACAGGAACGCATCCGTTTGCAGGACCTCCTTCTAGGGGAAAATGGGCTCGGATATACTCCTTTACCTTGAATCCAACACACGCCAGCTATCTCTAGGGATGTGTTAACTTGGTATGCTTTTTAGAAATATCCACCCTCAGAAAAGAAAAGAAAAAGAAGAGAAAAAGAAAAGAAAAAAAAAGGTACCTTCCATGTATATATTCTTCTTATTGGTAGTTGAAACCAAGTCTTTGCAATTACTAGGTTTTCTTCTTGGAAAAATTGAACCAGTGTTTCGCCTCTATCTTTTCTTTGGTCCAAACCAAAGTTCCTGACAATGTATTTAGTACGCCCTTTACCCACTTTGGCATTAAAAACATTGTTGTTTAGCTGTTTGATCTGTTGGCAGAATTTTCTTATTTCTTTTTCTGATTTTTCCCTTTTAGGAGCATATACTTATTTCAAAATATTTGAATGAAGGAAGAATGAATCAAGTTAATATTTCGAGGAGTGATATTGATTAGCAGCATAGCTATTCTATCAGATATAGGTATAATTATATGAAAAAATTACAATTATAAAAACATGTAATATCTAATATTGTCATTTTTGGTTCTTGTTTTGTCTGGAAAATATTAAAGAAAACGATGCAGTTTTGACTGTGTGCTATAAAAGATCCACAAATGAGAAAACCACTTGTCAGTACTATTTCCTATCTCAACATATCTTAAGAAACGTGTCAGCATGCCAAATGTAGGAACTTTTCTTTCAACTTCAATTAGGCCGGGAAGTTTCAACGGAAATCAAACAAATTTACATTTAAAAAGGACTAGCATTGGCCTATCAACAGTAATTTAAGTGTTTTACCGCCACCACTAACATTATATAAAATAGGTAAAAACTGTAAAAATAACGTAAAAATGATAAAATAAACCAATGTGTCAAGAAAAACGTGTCCTTTTACTTATAATTAGCCGCCAAACCATCACACACAATTACCACAAAAAAGTTATTTAAAGTATAGATAAAGTTCGCTAGTTAAATGTTAATAATATTACTAAAAATAGTCATTAGATAACTTTTGTCAAAAATTATCTAGATATTTGTTAAACTAAAAATATATTTATGTATCATAACAAGTTTATAAAAGAAAAAATTACGGAAATTGCTCAACAATAAATTTTCAAATTATTACACAGAAATATATTTGTATAAAATAAATAAATCTTAAAAGTAGAAGTTTAATTACTATTTAACTGGGAATAAGCCACAATTAAAGATATTATCTATGCTTAATATATTACTCAATGCTTACCAACCCACGAAAAGGAAGAATACAGAGTGTTATGTAAACTTGAATTGGAAAAATCTACTAAAATTGAACAAAACATAAGCAAAGAGGAACTAAAGGCTATAAGAGCTTTAAAAAATGACGACTCCATAATCATCCTACCAGTAGACAAGGGGAATGCAACTGTGATAATGGATAAAATTCAATACGAAAACAAAATTAAAGATCTAGTAATAAACGGACCTTATACAAAATTAACAAAAGATCCAACAAAGCCTTTGGAAAACAAAATATATAGAACTTTATTCAAGTTTAAAGATTTCTTAACAAGTTATCAGAGAGGATTAATTACACCTCATTACAGTAAGACTCCTCATTTTTATGGAGTACCGAAAATTCATAAAACAAATATACCACTTAGACCCATTTGTAGTACCATGAATTCTCCTTGTAGTGAACTATCAAAATTTTTATTAAATATTTTAAAATCATTTACAAATAAAAATGACACATTCATAAAAAATACACAACATTTTATAAATAAATTATCAAATATTGAATTTAATTCAAATAATACTTTGGTAAGTTTTGAGATAAATAGTTTATTTACGAATGTGCCATTAAATAAGACTTTAAGTATAGTCAAGACAAAATTAGAGAGTGATGATTCATTGGCAACTAGAACAACACTAAACATATCGGCTATGATGGAGTTATTAACATTGTGTACTGATAATACATATTTTCAACTAAATAATGAATTCTATAAACAAAATTTTGGTCTAGCAATGAGCTCTAGTTTATCTCCATTCTTAGCTGATATATTTATGGAAGATTTTGAAACAAATATCATTTCTAAACAAAATTTAAAACCCACAGTATGGTGGAGGTATGTATTCTCAATATAGCCTCATGAATCAGAGTTGTTGGACACATTCCTAAATGATATAAACGATAAAGAAGAGACAATAACATTTACCGTGGAAAAGGAATATAATAACACACTGCCTTTCCTGGATGTTTTAATCTCTAAGAACGATACTGGATATAAGACTCAGGTTTATAGAAAACCAACACACACCAATAAATATTTAAATTTCAAATCAAATCACAATATTAATGTAAAAAAAGGGAATAATTAAATCCTTATATGATAGAGACAATATAAGGACTGGAAAAATAAGTCCAGATCACTTTGGTACATATTATATAGTCTCACCATATGAGTAAGAGGCTTGAAGTATTCATAATTAAAATGATGAAATGGTAGATGAAAGAACAAAGTATGCCTAGTTCCATGAAGAGTGTTAAGACCTAATTGATTTAAAAGTTCAGGGCAATTTATCAAATTATTAGCAATTTTGTAAAGGAATATGTATTAGGCAAAAATATTCTTTTCCCTGATTCATAGAAACCATTTTCAAGTGATCAGCTATCATACTATAACTGTATGGGACAGAGAGGTCATGAAAAGCACTACAGTAATGATAGTGTTAAAAAATTTATGCTGAATATGATCAAGCTTGTCTATAGATGTTTGATAGTAAGGTTCCCATACAACTACTGCATATTCTAGTCTGGAGGGAATGAGACTATTAAAAAGAATTGGTAAAACAAAACATGAAAATTGAGAAGTGTTTCTAGTTATAAACCCTAATTGTTTAAATGCACTGTTTACTATGACCTCTAGATGCTTACAAAATGCTAATTTACAATCAAAATAAACACCTCAATCCTTAACACAGTCCTGCCTAGACAGCTGAGTGTTATCAATTCTATAATCGTAATTTACAATTGTTTGCTTCCTGTAAAAAGTAATAACACAACACTTATCAATGTTCAATTTTAATTCATTTAGTTTGCACCAATCGCTAAATCTACTGAGATCCTCTTGTAGCTGAATTTGATCATACTGACAAGTAATGACTATAAATTTTTTATCCTCAGCAAAGTTGAGAAATTTTGAATATTTAATGACTTTCTCAACATCGTTAACAAAGAGGACAAAAAGTAGAGGACCACAATGTGACACCTGTGGTACTCCAGAGAGGATGCCAACAGATTGAGACAACACACCATTTATCTTAATGCTCTAAATAACGATGATTTACTTTATCAAATGCCTTTGAGAAGTCAGTATAGATGCTGTGTACCTGGTACTTCCTCTCAAAGGCACCGAATATATCATCTTGGTAGACCAACAAGTTTGACACTATGCTCCTCCCCCTTTGAAAGCCATGCTGTTGGGGTATTATTATATTATTTGTTAGTTTTGATAAGTCAAAATAATGAATAGATAGTTGGCCACCTACCAAGAAATGGAGCCATGTTAAAAGATTAATAAACCAACAAATTAGCATTTGGAAGAACTAGAAAAGGAAAAATTATTTTTTAAGTGTCTTCATTTTGGTCTTCTTCTCCCACTCCAGGAACTTAAAACTCAGCAGTTCTTCATATTAGATGGTCAACATTTCAATTTTGAATATGCTCTAACCATCTTAACATATGCTTTCTATTTTTGGCATTAATTGATACCATCAGTGGACACTAATTTGACATTATTATAAACAGCATAACAAACTATATTGGTAGAAGTATTTAAAGGATATTGAACAATAAAAAAACTGAGGAGTAAATGTTTTAACTGATTTTAATGCTTAACAATATCTAAATAAATTTATACTATTTACTTTTTGATAGCTAACAAATTAACCTATCTTAACCAAAAACTCCTTATAATCTTCTACTACATAAAATAATTATTCTATGTAGTGGTAGTACATGAATATATTATTTGCTAATTTACAGTTTTTAATTTGTAATTTCACTTACTTGAATTTGTAGTTCTTTCCTACATCATCTATATGATATATAGCCTGTTGCAAATGATTTGCTGCATCTTGCACTTGTTGCAGTTTCCATGGGTATTCACTTTGAATGGTTGTGCGTACCATTGTGGTATTTGTCTGTCTTACAACTTTAAAATTAATATCCTATGAAAGAAACAATACATTAGCTTTTCATGACATTAATTTAGATGTCAATACACTAAAAATATGACAGATTCTTTAAACAACAAACATGTATACATTTAGCTAATATTTCCTCTTTGCAAAAAAGTATAAAATGGGTGTCTTGTCATAAAAAAAATCAAATTCTCATTTAAATCTAATAATTGTTTTATAATTACAGTGTTTATATTTACTAACTGTTTAAACAATTTATTGCAGATGTTAAGCTCTATCAAATCTATACTATTTTCAAATATAATTGAAATTAAATCCATTAAATTAATTTAACCATAGTTAAGATCCAAATAAGAGCTAAACTATTTGTTTAAATACCTACTGCATGTGTAATGCTATCTCCTGTTAGTGTGACTACACATTTTAATTGGTCAGCAGGCACTGACAAAACAAATTTGTCCTGTTTTGAAGAATTATCATGTCCATATAAAGCAACTGGAAACCTCCTAGCACATTCCTAAAACACACGATATTAATTTTATTCATAAAATTATTTACTTGACCTTAATACCACAAGTATTTGATGAATTTGTTCGAGACCTTTATGAACCTCTTGATTTAATACCCATTCGAATTCCTTTTGCTGAAATACATTAAATATAATTAAATCAATAAATTCTGACCTAGTTGTTTTATTGTTTAGTAACAGAAATATTGGTATAACTACCAAATTTGTTGCTTCTTCTTTCTCACAGTCCGTCATTGTTTATATTTTGGATATATTTTCTTCGCTATATAGTTTCTAAATCCATCTAATAATTGTTTCTAGGAGAATTTTCCGATGCACCTACAAACTATTATGACATGTCTGTATGTAATTTATTTGTCAGTGTCACGCCTCTTGTCATGTGTCACAACCATCCTTGACACTTAATTGACTCATCAGTCACTTTCTGGAGACCAATTACACTATCAAAAATCTAAATCTATTTATACAACAACAACACCACTATCACTATTCTGTGACCACTTGTATACATTTATTACAGATAATACAAAATATTCGTATAGTAAAAAATAATTGCGATAACAACTTAATAAACAAGTAGTTTATATAGTCATTACCAGATGGCGGGTATGTAGTAAAGTACAATAAACGTCAAACTATATAAACAAAAAAGAGGTGTGACAACTTATTTGAAATTTAATAATAATATTTAAACCAAAAACATTTTTATCAATTATATATAAGGATTTATAAAATGTCACAAGACATAATTCTTTCAGGTAATTATTTATTTTATTTCATACGGTTCTTTATTAACCAACTTAGCTTTAATTAAATATTCTTGTGTATTTTTAATTGATAATTAATATTAATTAAACAAACTTTAATTTTCATATGCCGTAGGTAATTTGGACATGCTTCACAGTTTGTATGATTTCAAAGCAACGTATGCTAAGACCCTGAGTTTTAAAAGCAATGAATACTTTTTACTACATCAAACAAATACAAAACATAAAAATTGGTGGGAAGTAATAAACGAACAGGGAGAAATGGGTTATATACCCTCGAACTACGTAGAAACCATTACAGTAAACCCCTCATTCTTCATACAGTTTATAGATAACTGTTTGGAAAGCCTGAAAAGGCCATCAGAATACTCAATTGGTGATAAAAGTGATACAATTTCGATGCTCAAAGAATTGAAAAAGCAAATAGAACAGTTACCGGAGATTTCTAAGAATTCCATAGGTGTTGATAGTGATGAAAATCCTCCCTTATTATTTAAAAACTCGGATGGGAAGCTTGAACCTATACATTCTTCATCAAGTAGCTGTTATATAGAGAGAAAGAGTCGGAGGTAAGTGAAAAGTGTATTATATAAGTTAATTACCATATATTTTTCCATAAATTATTCTTTTACATAACACTATAACAACTTTTTTCTTATTGTAGCTTAAGTGAAGATTCTATAAAACTAGTGCCAAAATCTCAGAGTAATGGTAGTATACAAAAATCTGTAGAAAATATCAGTGAAGAAGGGAAACCTGAACCTTTTAAAGACTGCAAAAAGTCTGACTCAATGGTGTCAAATACATTAAGCAATGTGTCTCCACCCATAACGCACCAGTCTGTTTATGATTTAGTAGAAAGTGTTAGGATTAATACTCAGCTATCACATGAAATGTCAAGAATTGCTATGGTGACAGTTATTCAAGGGTATGTAAATATTTTAATGTAATTAAGTACATACGATTCACCAAAACTAGAAATGGCTTTTAAAATTTTGCCCTTTGGCACAGAGGGCGGACAGATAAAGTATTTAGAGAGAAAGAGATGGAACATGCTAGAACTAGACTATGTGATTTTTAAATGTAGTTTACTGGTCGAGTTTACTTCTCCTACTAAGATAATTTCTAGTAATTTTGATACACATCAAGTGGCAGTACTGATCTTAGGATTTTCAAAGTCATTTCTACTTTTGACAAAGTGTGACACCAAATTTATCTATCTATCTTAATTTTATATTGCACCAATTTTAAGCTTAAAAGATGCAGTAAATTTGTCCCTGATTTCAGTGTTTGTTTTATTAGCATTAAGTACTTACTAAAATACTGTGATTTCTATTATTTTCATCTCTGAGTAACAAATTAAAATTTACAGTCTGAAATAGTGTTTTCTAACTATTCCGTAGTTGTGTAGATGCATGTGTGATAAACTTATTTTCCACGTTAACAAAATAAAAATAATAAGTCTACCAAACCACAGAGATCTTATAATATTATCTGGTACCGTTGGGCCTGCTAAAGACTGTGAATGTCGTAAGAATTGAGAAGGTCTTCGATTGCCCAATTCTTCATGCTCAAGTGGTCTTTTAATTTTTTGTTGTTGTGATGCACTGAATCTCTTAATTAATTCTGTTTTTAACTTTCCATAACCTGTTTGTAGCTGGTGGTAATACAATTATGTCTCTCACTTCAAATATGTATGACGTTTCTAGATTAGCAACTATATAATTAAATTTTGTTGCTCCACTTGTAATGTTTGCTAGTGCAAATTGGTTTTCTACTTGCAGGAACCATCTTTCGGGATCGCTGGCCCAGAATGATGGGATTTTCACTGTTACGCGATCTACTTCTGTAGCACTATTATTGGTTCTATCTGGCATTTTCACTGATTCAGATTCACTCTTTTAACCGGCAAAAGTATATTATCAACACTATTCTTTTTAAACGCTCACGGGTCACCAATGTTCAATATCCAATGTTCGCGGGGTCCCCAATATTCCGTGGTTGTGTGGATGTGTGTTTTAAACTTATTTTCCATGGAAACAAAATAAAAATAATAAAATCGAATAAAAGGTAGAAAAAACTGTTAATAATATTTATTTTCATAAAAGTAATTAATTCTCGAAGTTAAGGTATTTTTGTATGTATCGCGGACCGATGCAAATTGTGACTGATTGATTAAACTAAACACACATTATTTGTTTTAAAAGCCAGACGATAAACTCAAATATTATTTGATGTCATTCCTTACAATATAATATTTAATTTCCCATACATGAAAAATGCAACGTCTGCAAGGTTAAAGAAGAAATAAATATATTTTTGTACAAGTATTACCAACTGCGAAAATGTAAATTTTAATATGAGATCTGATATTTAATTTTTGAATAGAAAACTTATAATTTTTCGTAATTAGCTTGTCACTACATAACTACTTTTTTGTTTTTCTGTGTAGTTTTGATGCTTAAGCATGTGCACATTTATTTTTTACATATGTGCAAGCTTTTATATATTTAAAATAACATTTTTCTGATGAGGATGCTAAAGGCAATGTCATCGGTTAACTACGTACAAGACCAACAGTTATCAGTGAGTCAACACCTCACATATATGCCACTGAATGAATGATGAGCTTCCGATGAAAATTGATTATTATTTCCCTTAGGCTTCACGAACTACTACCAGCATCAGTTTTTCCATATCTCAGTACAATCCTTTCACATTCCCAAGCTTCTCTAGTGGATGATGTTCAAATAGACCAAACACATGATGCTAGTCGATTAAAAATTATTTTTAATGAACTGATCTCATGTAAAGAAGATGCGCAACAGAGAAGTTGGATGTTACATGAAGATGAAGATGTCATCAAGGAATATATTGTTGAAATGATCTCAATATTGGTAAGTAATTATTTTTATTAAATTGTAATTATTCATTTTAATGTGGATCTTTATGTAAAGTGTATATATATATATATATATATATTTATAGATATATATATATATATATATATATATATATATATATATATATACAGTCCTCTCTCTCTATAACGATATGCAAGGGACCAGGGATTTTTATCGTTATAAGGAGAGATCGTTATACAGAGAGAGACAAAATTCGGTACTGTAATATTAATAATACTGTCCTAAATAACCTATTTTAATTTAAAAAAAATATCAAAACGAATATGGATGAATTAACACTGTATTGTACACCACATAGATTTATTAAAGAATAATATAAGCTTCTTCTTCTTCAAGTGCCATCTTCGTTCCGAAGGTTGGCGATCATCAGGGCTATACGTATTTTCGAAACTGCTGACCGAAACAATTCGTTGTTGCTACAGCTATACCATTCCCGTAGATTCTTTAGCCAGGAGTTTCGTCTTCTTCCTATGGACATTTTTCCTGCTATTTTCCCTTGCATAATTATTCGAAACAGTTCATATCTTTCGCCTCTTGTAATGTGTCTCAAGTATTGGAGTTTTCGTTTTTTGATCGTAAATATGACTTCCTTTTCTTTATTCATTCTTCTCAAGACCTCGACATTTGTGTCTCTCTCGGTTCAAGATATTCTCAGGATTCTGCGGTACATCCACAGTTCAAATGCCACCAATTTTTTAATATCAATCTTTTTCAACGTACATGACTCCATTCCGTAGAATAAGCAATACAGCATAAAAAAATGATTGTACAATTAAAACATGTGTAGTGTAGAATAACAAAATAATACACTACTGTAAAATATACTTAGCCTACATTACCAAAAAAGTCTGTCCCCTTGGGCTTTTTCCTTTTCCCTTTTCACAGAACTGACCTTGTCCTAAAGACACATAGAATCTTCCACATCACTCATATCGTCTTCTTGGTGAATGAAGAATCGATGCAGTATTTTGCCGCATTCAATGTCTGCTTTTTTTATCGTGTCCGGAAATTCATGTCATTCATAAAATTTCGGCCCATTATCGGTCTACGTCGGTTCCATCTTTGTTGGCAAGCCATAAATTTCTGCATGTTTCTGCATCTAAGAAGATGTTCCATATTCTGTACTTCTCCACAGTCACAGTTCACATTCTCTTGGTTTATTTTTCCCCATTTTACCATGTTTGATTTTACTGGGCGACCCCCCCCCGTTCTTATCCTATTTATAGTTTTCCAAGTTTTAAAGTCTAGGGACTGGCCGGTCATTGAACCTGGGAAAGAAAAATATACTCAGGCGATTCATCCTGCACTGTTCCAAGGAATCTTTTCCTGGACTTTAGTCGCTTTCGTGGTGTTCGAGCCTTGTATAGGGCATGCCGTTCGTCCGAGATCTGTTTCATTTTCTCTAGGTGCTTTGCAACGCCTCTGCGTGTTGAGGGTTCTGCAAGACCTGCTACTTTATATAGATTTGAGAGTGACGTTGGTTTCCTGCTGAGGGCTTGGAGCTGGTTTTGGCTCTGGGTTGCAAAGAAATTTTATCCAGCCCAGAAAGTGGAATATGGTTCATACGCTGCTGCTGAGGTTTCCGCAACTTCTTCCTGCTACCGCCCTTCATCCCCGCTTCAAGCCACTATTTTCTGTCCTTCCATATCGGAGCCACAGTTGACTGAGCTATCGATATCAAGCAATTGGATGTCGTTCGCCCCGTACGGCGAACGACATCCAATTGCTTGAGCTATCGATAACTTTTCCTCCACCGAGCGCACTTTAGGCTTTTTCGAAAACATATTGACTGACTAAGACACAACTCGCAAAAGTAAACAACCGCTGGACGCAAATAAAATAATACATTTATCATCGACTATTGAACGCTGAAAATCATCGCTATAAAGAGAGAACGATATCGGTATAGAGAAAAAATTATTACATTGTTCTTATGACGGACCAACCAACGTTTACTATTTTCATCGTTATAGAGGAATTATCGTTATATAGAGAATCGTTATAAAGAGAGACTACTGTATATAATATACAGTAGTCTCTCTTTATAACGATTCCCTATATAACGATAATTCCTCTATAACGATGAAAATAGTAAACGTTAGTGGATTCGTCATAAGGACAATGTATTCATTCTTTCTCTATACCGATATCGTTCTCTCTTTATAGCGATGACTTCAGCGTTCAATAGTCGCCGACAAATGTGTTATTGTGTTTTAAGTTCAGACTACCTGAGTCAAGAGTGGCAAGGTCATTGTCCAGCGGTTGTTTTGTTTTTGGAAGGAGAAGAATAGGGTGGAAGAAGTTGCGGAAACCTCAGCACGAAGATTTAGATCGCGCTATGCCGCAGTGATTTCAGCAGCAGCGTTTGAACCATATTCCACTTTCTGGGCCTGTGGTTAGGACGACAAAAGCTGAGTTTTTTGCAACCGAAGTTGGAATTGAGAATTTCAAGGCATCTGAGGGTTAGCTGAGCAAGTGGAAGCTGCGGCACAAGATCAACTATGGGCAAATTAGCGACAGGCTCGCACGATGAACAAAAACGTAAAGAATGATTGGCTAGAAAATTTTTAATGCTGATGAGACTGGATTGTTTTTTAAAATGACACCAAACAGAACTTTAAAATTTAAATCGGAAAAGTGCATTGGTGGAAAGCTCTCCAAGAAACGCATTACAGATTTAGTGGCCGCAAACATGACAGGTTCGGTGAAGCGAAAATTGTTAGTGATAGGGAAGTTGGGAGTCCGCGTTGCTTTAAAAACATAAAAAATCTACCGGTGACCCATAAAGCAAACAAGAATCGTAGATGACTTCGGAAATTTTTGAAGAAGCGATAAGAAAGTGGGATATCTAGCTTAACGAGAAAAAATTCTTCTGCTTGTAGACAATTGTCCTGCTCATCCTGTGCTGTGCTATCTTTAAAACATTGAACTTTGTTTTCTGCCAGCAAACACAACAAGTGTCCTTCAGTCCATGGACCAAAGTGTCATCAAGAGTTTGAAAAGTCACTACAGAAAAATACTTTTGATGGAATTGGTTGAAAACAATGGCGATCTTAAACTAAACATTCCCGGCGTGATCCTAACGATTATATGACGAGATGACGAGCAATACAATAAAACATTTCTTCAAACACGCAGGATGGCTGGAAGATCAAGGATTTACTGATGATGAAAATGACCTGTTCTTAGATGTTTGGGCCAGACAGTTTGAACTTACTATCACCTACAGATCGGAAGAGCTAACAGATTTTGAAGAAGTTGATGAAAATGTAGCTACAACATCTTTCTTTCTGACGAGGACATCCTACAAGCAGTTCGTGTAGAAGAAGAAGAAAACAGTGACATGGAAGTGGAAGCACAGCCAGAACCAGCTCCGACCCCTCAGTAGGCATTGGATGCACCAAAAGTATTGCATCGATTCTTCATTCAGCAGGAAGACGATATGAGTACTGTGGAAGATTCTATGCGTATTCAGGACAGGCTCAGGTCAGTAGTCTGTATAAAGGGAAAAGAAAACAGACCAAGGTGATAGACTTTTTTGGTAATGTAGGCTAAATATATTTTACAGTAGCATATTATTTTTTATTGTACAATACACATGTTTTAATTGTACAGTCATTTTTTTTATACTGTATTGCTTATATTATTCTTTAATAAATCTGTGGTGTACAATACAGTGTTAATTCATTTATATTCGTTTTGACAATTTTTTTTAATTAAAATATGTAGGTTCTTTAGTACAGTAATATTAATATTACAGTATTGAATTTTGTCTCTCTCTGTATAACGATCTCTCCTTATAACGATGAGAATTCCCGGTCCCCTGCACATCGTTATAGAGAGAGAGGACTGTATATATATATATATATATATATATATATATATATATATATATATTTATAGATCTCTAATGTGTATCAATTGTTTCGCCTAACGTTTTCGCCAAAGAGAATTAATTTGGCGTCTTCAGGGCTAAAAGAGAATAAATTATAATTAGCTACCATATATTATCTAATAAAAAACATTTACCTTACCGTAAATTTTAGAAATGCCGAGTTATGATGTTAAAAAACTTTAGCTAGTAACAACATAGTGGTGTTTTTTTGTTACTATGTACAAAAAAGTTTATTTGTTAACGTTGGAAATGTATGGTAGCTTTGAACTTAAAACGCAAAGGTTTACCCAAGGTTAATCGAAAAACCCAATGTAACTACATTTAAAGGAAGATATTGTTGGTATCTGTTTCTAATAAAGAATATCGAATAACTCTAAAGCATGGACAGTGCCAAAAGGCCATGAGAAATTTCTAGCGACGTACGAACGAAGAATTTTAAGTCATATATACAACATAGTGCGAGTGCGAGAAAAAAATATGGCGAAGACGATACAACTTTAAATTTTACAATGCTACAATGTATATGAAGAACCAGACATTATCACGTGTATAAAAATTGGAAGATTGCTCTGAAGACTTCACATAGAATGGATGTGGGAAGATCTAGTCCTCATGAAAATCATAAGGCAGACACCAACGGGAGGAAGACCAAAATGAAGGCCCTGGCTTAAATATATGGTGCAAGTAGAACAAGACCTAAAAACCGCTAATTGGAAGCGTAAAACCCATAATATATCGGAATGGTGGAAGATCTTAGAACAGACCAAGATCCACCAAAGGTTGTCGTGCTACTGATGATAATGATCATAACTCTTATATGCCAACTCTTGAAGATTTTTTATTCTTGTTTTATTTAATTCTGAACCTCCTATATTATCCCGTAATCTGTTTGATGACATATTTATAAAATACTAAAAATATTTTAGTATCTTCCGGTAGAGGAATAAGTTCTAAAAATAATTGATAGTAGCAATTTACTGTTAATTTTACATATTGCGCGATGATTGTTTACAAGGTTAGACAAGGTCAGCACAAACATTTTTTTAAATATGTCAAATATAATTATGAACTCTAGTGTAATTAAAATTAACGGTAAAAATTTTTATAATCATATAAAAATTATTACTTGGATAATTATCCCAGTCAAAATAGTAATAAAAAAATGTGTTGAATTAAGTTTCAAATTGAGACGTTTTTCAAATCAAAGTTTGGTCAAAAGGAATGACTACTGAAACATTATTTAATTTATTTATTAAGGTTTTTCATTAATAACTTATCTGTTGAAATTTGATTTGATGTTAATTTTTCATGAATTAAAAAAAAGTTGTTATAGGACCAAAAAATCATAATATTGTTCTGAAGCTATTTTCTTGTGGCATTTTAAATTAATTACTATTTAACTGGGAATAAGCCTCAATTAAAGATAAAAATACGTTTATTGACGTTTCAATTTCCACTTCGGAAATCGTTCTCAAAATACAAACAGTAAATTAAACAAATTTTGTTTTTTGTTACATAGTGAAAAATTCTTCTAATAATTTAATTTTATCTGACTCATTTATATTGACAATTCAGACATACATTATGCATTTTAAAGTAGATGACTTTAAAATGATATTGCCAATATTGTTGAGTTGCGCTCCTGGGACGACTTTACTTATAAGATAGTTCATTCGATTACATGAAATCAACATTAACTTGAGAATATCCGTCAGAAAAAAATCATAGCATATAATTCGTCTTTAAAAAGACAAACACATGACATGATGACAGTAAAATTCTCCTGTTAGTGATTCCATAGTAAATTATGAGGGAGAAACCAGGAAAAAAAACCTCATAATACTATCCCGACATGGTAAGTATTTGTTCGTGCATTTAGTTTACCTTCAATAAACACCAAAATTCTGATTTTATATGTTTCGTTATTTAAAAAACATAAATGATATATCCTCTATATGTTACTGACTTACTAATACTGGTATTTTCTTATTAATAACTTCCTCTTTCAATATTGGTAACCAGATCCTACTACATTCTGCCGAGGAATTTGCGACACAATTGGCCTCATTTAGCATAATTAAAGCCCCTTCTTTGATTTTTCTTTTTTTACCATCCGTCTCTTTTAGGACTACATTTTAATTATTCCATTGAACCCTATGTTCATTATCCCATGCGTGTTTACATATTTGAGATCTATCAAATTCTCTATTTTTAATATAAGACTGATGTTCACTTATTCTAACATTTAATGGCCTTGATGTTTCACCTAAATAAAACTGATCGCATTCACAAGGTATTTTATAAATGCAATTCTTTGTCCTTTCTTGTTCATTGTTAGGTTTGGTTTTGGACAAAATAGATCTCAATAGACCTCAAATAGACTCTTGAGGCTGGATGATGATGATAAAATAAATAAATAGATAAATTGGATCCCCTACACCACTGTATGATTATTGTGAAGTGTCATGAAATTTAAATTTGGCGCATCCGCCAAATGCCAAATGGTCTCCTTTTCATAACGATAACGGTCTTGAATAATAATTTTTTCCAAGTCATTTCCAATATATACTTTTTGTTTTTCTAATTACAATAAAAAAAGCTGGATTGTTATGAAGAAGTTGAAGAATTTTTAGAGTTTATTTATCACATTGTAGAAGAAAATCATCTTTATATCATAATTTATATTACAGTATAGCCCGAAATAAATAGTACTGAAACTGAAACATAGCTGTCTATTTTTTATTTTTAGTTTTATTAGTTTAGTTTATTTTTCTACTCTCTTACTAGTAAATTGTATATTACTTACTATTTGGATGCTAAGTAAATGCATCATAACAGATACTGACACGTAATGACTAGCACGTAATAAAAAAAATTACGCTTCAGTTTTATAAAAATGTGTAATATCACATAAGCCTTGTAAGTCAGTTGGTCGAGTTACCATGGAAACGAATTAACAGACGTTATTTTGACAGATTAAAAATTATTAATCTGTCAGTGTAAATATAGTGGTAATTTAATTTTTATTTTTATAAACGAAAATAATGGTAGAAAAAGTATAGTATACAACTTGAGTTGTAAGCTTATTACATGCTTGTAAAATTACTGCGCTCGCCGCTATGCGGCCCCCCGCGCAACTTTTTTACTCGCATGTAATAGGCTTCTTACAACTCTCGTTATGTAATATACTATTATCATATTGTAGAAGAAAATCGTCCGGAACGTATACGAAAGCGATATATTCGTGATAAAATTATATCTAAAATCCAATGGAATTTTCCAATATTACTGTTCCAATCTGCTTATATTCCTTAATTGTTCTGTAAATAGTTGAATGCGGAACATCTAAAATTAGTACATTACTTTACTAAGTCTTGATTTTAACTATAACTATTCTGCAAAACTAGCCTCATGCTTGTTTTATTTTTGCTACCATGACTGTTATTTTCATTCCAGGATTATCAATTTTTATTTGTTTGTACATGTTTATAATGCATTGTTTTTCATTTGATGATAAATGACCCAAATCTACTCGGCGTTTTTTAGATGGAGAAGGATAATTACCACTAGTACTTGGCATTGAATCCATATTGTTATCTTAATAACACTAATACGTTGCTAAATAGTTCTGAAAAGAACTTTTTTTTTGTATAAGTGCAAACCAAAAACTGTAAAAATTAAATGAATACCGCAGAAAATATAAAAAATCTTCGATATCAATTTTGAATTTTAAAATTTCATAAATGTCATTAGTGTCAAAATGTCATATTTTAGTGGAGTAAACTTGCCTGTGGTTGGACCAATTACAAACAAGCATTACTGCGCCGTAAATTTGAATTATTCCTCCTGATTAAAAAACAAACCATAGTATATTTTTATACAAGTAAATAAACTACAGAGTCTGTTCTCTAGAAATTGGTATTGAATTTGAAGTGTCGTCACTGACAAAATATTGTGGATTTTGAGTTCAGTATAGTATATTAATAAAATATTTGTCTTAGTCGAATGCAGATGCAAGTATATCAAGACATGTCATTTCCTCTGACCAATATCACGTTATCACAACCTTAATCCAATATTATCAAATGGAAACCAGATGGTCCATAAGACAGTTGCTCTTACAAGCTTTTGGAGTTTTGTGCAGTTTGGACAAAACTGTTATCAACATTATGCTGACTTCGGTTTTACCAAGTGAACTAGCAAGGTAAGTAAAAATAAATTTTCTGTACGTATTTTGAACAGTCTCCTTTTAGTTTGATAAACTTAACTCCGCAATCCTCCAACTTCCCAATCTCCCCAATCCCACTGTATTTTAGTCAGTTCTTCCTCTAATCCGTGGATTTTAGTGTCTTCGTTCATGGATCTGATGTTATACGTTCCTACATTTATTTTTGTCGAATATTTGCCTCTGTCGAATCCTTGAGGAGTTTAATATTAATTCCTGTAATAGTATTAATCTTAGCTCTAGGTTTAAAATATATTATATATATATATATATATATATATATATATATATATATATATATATATAGCGAGTGTTTGCAACTTTAATTTTGTCGCTTCTCGCATCCCAATCGCCATAATTTCTTATCGGCCCAGTCTCCTTCTTGAAGACCTCTATTTTCCATTTCTATATGAATATTGGATATCCATTTCTTTCTTGGCCTTCCCCTTTTATTTCTCTGTGTAGGTCTCCAGTTCCAAACCTTTCGTGGTATCCTTTCTTCGTTCATCCGTCTCAGGTGTCCATACCATTTTAATTGTTTTTCGGCTATCGTATCCATTATTGTGTTCTTTACTTTCATTCTCTCTCTTATGTTTTCATTTCTTATGTGGTCAAACAAAGTTAACCCGGAACATCTTCTCCAGTACATCATTTCCGTTGAGAGGAGTTTTTGTGACATATTATTGTTAAAGACCCACACTTCTGACCCATACGTCAGCACCGGCTGAATCATAGCCTGATATATATTTTTCTTTGTTTTCTTAGTTAAAGTTTTATTCCACAGGATCGGATGTAGTGTTTTTATCATGTTTTTTCCTTTTCCTATTTTTCTTGTTATATCTTTGTCGTCTCTCCCGTCTTCGCTTAGTGTAACTCCGAGATATTCGTACTGATCAACGTTTTTAATTAATCCGCTTTCTGTTTCCATGTCTTGACCGATGCCTCCTATATTCATGTATTGTGTCTTTTCGGTATTAACCTCTAATCCCCATTTTTTGAATTCGTCTATTAGTTTGTTTATCATGTACGTCATATCTTGTAGGTCCTCGGCAAGAACTACCTGGTCGTCTGCGAAGAGGATTGTGTATATAGGAGTGTCATTTACCCATATGCCCATTGGGCTGCATTTTCTCATCCAATGTTTTAAAGCATTACCAAGATATATTTTAAATAGGGTTGGGGAGAGGCAAGAGCCCTGTTTGACACCCTTTGTTTGGGTGAAACCCTTGGAAATTTGGTTTCCAACCTTAATATAAGCTTGGTTATCTTGATATAGCTTTTTCACGGCATTTATATATACTGCATTTATACCTGCGTTTTCCAATGTTGTCCATAGTCTCTGCAGTGGTACGGAGTCAAACGCTTTACGGAGATCTATAAAAGTGGCATGAAGTTCTAGTCCTCTTGCTAATCTCTTTTCCGTTAGGTGTTTGAGAGTAAATACATTGTCGACACAAGATCTCCCTGGTCGGAATCCACTTTGTTCTTCGATCTCTGTGGCTTCTTTTTCTATTCTGGCTTTCAGAACTCTTTCATACAGTTTGCCAGTGGATGACGTAATGCTGATACCTCGGTAATTACTGCAGTGATTCCTGTTTCCCTTTTTGTAGATGGAGTTTATGTGCGAGACTTTCCAATCTCTTGGGATACTTTCTCCTTGTAGGCACTTGTTAAACATTTTACAAAGCAATTCTAATGTTATTGCAGTGGCATGTTTGAATAACTCGATAGGTAAATCACCCGGCCCAGGAGCTTTATTATTTTTCATTTTTTGTAATGCGTTTTTTATTTCTTCTACGGTAATCATCGCCACTTCATTTAACTCCGTTTCAACTCTATCTGTGTGTCTAGAAACTGTGTACGTTGTTCATTTAATAGATTTTCATAATAATTTTTCCATCTTTCTATGTCTATGGGGTTTATTTTTTTTGTTTCGTTTGTATTTTTTCTAAGACTGTTGATAGTTTTCCAAGCTTGTCTGGACCTAGATCCTCCTACCATTGAGCTTATTTCTGCACACTTGTTGTCCCAGGTTATGTTTTTTGTTTTTTTAATTTCCTTTTTTACTATATATTTGTATCTCTTATAGTTCTTTCGGTCTTCCTCATCTTTTGTCGCTAACCATTTGAGATACAGTTTTTTCTTTTCTTCTACCAGTCCTAATAAAACTTCTGTCCACCAATAATGTCTACGTTTTACTTTTTCTTTCGTACCTAAAGCTTCTAATGTTGCTTCATGAATTTTGATTTTCAAAGTCTCATACATTTCTTCCGCTGTTCCGTTTATTTCTTCGTCTAATTTTTGTGCCAAACGTAGTTTATAAAGAAAACTTGTGGACTCATTTTTTAAGCTGTCTATGTTATAGAGCCGTGAGGATTCTTTGTTTGTCTGTTCTTGGGATTTATTTTGTTTAATATATCTTATTTCCACGGGTGCCTTTACTAGTAGGTGATCCGATCCACATTCTGCCCCTCTCCAAATTTTTACATCTTAGGGTCTTAAAGATGTCTCTTGTTTAACTACTATATAGTCTATAATTGACTGCAGTTTTCTTGTCTTTTGAGTCCATGTATATTTATTTATGTCTCTATGTTTGTAAAATCCATTCAGTATTTTTAACGAATGTTGTTCGCAATTTTTAACGAATATATGTATATACCCAGTATTATTTGCAAGCTGCAAGCCCTTAACTCATGACGTACTGCTCATCCGTAGATCGATCAGACACCAGCGTATTCTAGCCTACGTAGTAGATTAAGTTAGAATTTTAAACTGCTCTGTAAACCTTTTTGTTTTTATGTCTAATATTGTTTAATTTTTTAGGGATATTACAACTAACCCAAGGAACATTCCAAAGCTCAACTATTCTTCTTTATTACTGACTATGATTTTTTCCATGGGAGAACCCATGCCTGTTACTCATAACGGTAAGTCAACGTAAATTTTAAATAAAAAATATTAATTCTGTCCCTTTCTTATGTTTTTAGAATTCTTGGGAAAAACTTTCTTGGCTTTCATTCTCGACAACATAGAATATCCCCCAGATACAGATTTGGACGAGCAAATCCCAGATCTATTTTTAAATTTGATAATTTCTTTTAATCTCCAATTTACTGAAGATGTTGAGAACCCTGTTTTAGCAGCTTTAGAAGAACGGGATGTGGCGAAAACATTTACTGAGAAGATTTTGTTGCTGATTAACAGAGAAGGTAATGAAAATAATTATTTTATGTATTGTGTTTAAAATTAATTTTCGTCTAGAAGCTAGTTTGGCTACAAATGATAAAAAGAGATGCCCCGTTTCAAAATAGCAACTCTGATGTGTGATACCAACACCGATATGTTTACATTATGTGACATGAGATCTTTTTGTTATAAATGCATATTTCACACAATCCTGAACACCTTCTTCAGCTGTGTTCTTATATTTATCAATATAAAACTTTTTGTGCAAGCGTCGATAACAAATTTGCCATCTCTAAACAAAGAGTATTTGACGAAGAGAAAGTTTTATGCGAAAATATAAGAGGTACTACAGCGAACGCCACTGATTATGTGTAGGAATCGATGGATTTTCCACTTAAGTCACTGGACTCTCCCACTGGCGATAGGATTTGAAACTGAACTTTTATTTAGCGGTGTATCTGCTAAGTTTCAGTATTATAGCAGTAAGAGTACTGAAACTGAAAAGTCAAATGTCCAGAAGGTGGACAAAGAATATAATCTCCCACTTACAATACAGGAAGTAAGCATCTATGTAAGTGTATATACAATATGATAAAACAATTTGTTAATATCATGCTAAAAATGTATGATAAAGAAGCTGAATATGCCAGTAATTATTCGCTAAATAACATGACAGTGTATGAAAGTGTCTCACTATATCTTATTGGATTTAGTCATGACTTAATATAATCTTTATTGTAGAATACCTGAGGAAGAATTAAATGAATTCGAAAGTAAGAAAAAACGCTCATTTTTGTAGGCTATAACAAAACATGCCATAAACAAAGTTTTACCATCTTTACCCTAAAATTTAAAATGTATTTTGTCCATGATTTTCTAGTTTTTATATTTTAATGTGTGTCAATGCTTTTACAAATATTCTCAACGACTATGTCTTGAAAAAGGAATAAAATCATTCCGAAAGCTAGACAAAAAGAGTGTTTTTTTGAACATCCCGGCCAATATTCTGACTGCATCAGTAATAAACTATGTTGTTTGTTATATATATATATATATATATATATATATATATATATATATATATGCAGATTGAACGAAATAAATTCGGAACATAGGAATATAATGTATTTCGGCTCAATTCTGCTGTAGGTGGTTGGCCAACAAAATATTGTCAAATAATTATATTATAAAAATCCAATACTTCAGCGGGCTGCTGGATTCTGAACTCATAAAAATTGAAAGCTACACATAAATCTACGATTTATGCTGTCAAACCAGTTATAGTCCAGGAAATGAAGCATTTCAGCTCGCAATTTTTTCGTGCTCCCTGGATTGACTTGAAATTTAACAGAAGGTAGGTAATAGCCTAAGGATCAAAATCTATATCGAACCAAAGTGCGCCAAAGCCTAGGGGGTGGTTGCCACCCCATCTCCGGGGTGAAAATTTTTTTTTTAACGTTTTTAACTACAGGTTTCGATTAAAAAAGTGATTCTAAACAAAAAATGTGCTATACATTTTTTTCTATAAAATAATATTTTTCAAGTTATCCGCGATTGAAAGTAATAACTTTTAGACGAAAAAATCCACGTTTTTAATCGATTTTTTGCGAATAATTCGAAAATGGTGCATTTTATCAAAAAAATTGTAGAGAACAAATTTGTAGCTTTTAAAAAGACAAATACAATTCATTTTTTAAAATGTTTTTGGGATATAATAGGAACCGAAATACGGCCTATCAATGTTCAGCGGTTTTCTTCAAATGCCAAATTTGAAAGATTCAAAATCAATTATCGGGAAAATGATGCATTTTTGGAAGAAAACTCACAAAACCTTTTTTAAAGAGCATAAGTAGACCTATCATAAAAAAGACTCTAGCTCAAAAATTGAGTGAGTTATGATGAAAATAAGGTCAATACCTCATTTTTTACGAAAAAATCGAAACAACACCCTAACCTCCTCCATAATTAAAATCGATCTTTACCCTTCTGAAATTCCCTTTGTACATGTATTGTTAATACGTCCAAGAAGTTTGACCCATTTAAAATGCTTTGTGTTAGAAAAAGTACAGCTTAAAGCGAGAAACGATTTACAATTTCATATTTTTTACCCTTCTTTTTTTAAATATGCCCGAAAATACTGAATATATGAAAAAAATACAAATTACCAAATTGTAGCTTTTTTAATGACTAAAATTATCCTTCATTTAGATTTGTTGTACAATGAATATTTGGCGAGATATAGCCGTTTAAAGCATCGATTTACGATCAAGCACCATCTCTTTCGAGCCCTTTAAACTCACCCCATTTAAAAATCAAGGGTTCCAAACAGATTTAATTCACAGATCATTGTAGCTCTTAAAGACCTCTACAAATCGTTTTTGAAGAAATCGTTAAAAATTAAAAGAAATACGTTAAAAAAACCAGTGAATTTTTTTCCGGAAAATTCTATTAGTATAGTACAGTACATTTCGGAGCATAATAATCTACAAAACCGGTATATTAGCTAGTGGGGCGTTATACATTCGAAATTTTAAGCGTTCTTATTTTGAAATCCCATACAACAGAATAAAACATCTGCTCAAATGTCTATGGCTTGGCAATAAAAATATTAGAGCAACAGATTGGGGATGGTATTCCAAAGATGGTTTGTTATTACCCGTACGCATGAACAAACAACCTGCACTCGATGAACTTTTGAAAATTATTTTTTGGCAATGCAAAAAAGGATGCAGTGTTTCATGTGGGTGCAGAAAAGTTGGTTTATACTGTAACTCTACTTGTTCTGGGTGCTCAGGTGAAGGCTGCAATAATAGTCCACCAATAATTGAAGATGACGATGAAGATGTAATTGATGACGAATAAAATTAATATTATAATTGTTTTACCTATAAATGTAAATATATGGTGCCTTTTTATGTTGATAAATTTTTTTGTATTTAATTCTACTTTTTTCAATTTATATCTTATAAATTAGTTTATAAAAACTGCAATGTTGTAAAGGGTGATTTTCAAAAGTTGAAAAGTTGCAAAATTTTGGCAAAAAATTGTTTTCACCTATAGCACTCATAACAATTGATTTTTAAGGGTTGAAAATGTATGAATTTGTATTTTAAAGTATAAAAAAATCAATATTTAACTAATCCAAACCAAATTTCACTTATCTTAAGATTTATAATATTATTTTACAATTTTTGAAAATTAGGGGTAGTTTTCATCCCTAAGAACAATCAGGGTTCATCGGCATGACATCATGCCGATGATGTCATGCATTTCATGCATTACTATTTTTTTTATATTAATCTCTAATAAGGGTCGCTTTTTAAGGGTTGAAATATGATGGAACTTTATTCAAAAGCACGAAACTATCATTATTTAATTAATTCAAACCAAATTTTACTCATATTCAGGTTTAATATGTTATTTTATAATTTTTGACAATTACGGGTAGTTTTCACCCCTTAGAACAATCAGGGTTCGTCGACATGACATAAACTATAAAGCAGCGGGTGAATTGAGCTTAAATAAAAATTTTTATCCAAATCGATCCAAGGCGAAATCATTTTTTTAGAATTAGTAATTTTTTTACATTAACCTCTAACAAGGGTTGCTTTTTAAGGGTTGAAATATGATGGAACTCTATTCAAAAGTATAAAATAATCATTATTTAACTAATTCAAACCAAATCTTACCCATATTCAGGTTTAATATGTTATTTTATAATTTTTGACAATTAGGGGTAGTTTTCACCCCTAAAACCCTTCAGCGCACTTCGGTTCGATATAGATTTTGATCCTTGGGCTATCACCTACCTTCTGTTAAAATTTCAACTGGATACATGCAGGACGAAAAAATTGCGAGGTTTTAACTTTTTTCGAGATTTATTTCCTGAACTATTATCGTTTCCTTAGACAAACCCGTCTTACGCAAACAACATTGTTGTGAGACAGATAGTTGAACGATATTTTATACAATGTCTATACCCAGGTATGGATTTATTTTTGTCCAAGTTTTATATTGGTCCTCATATTTCAAATGCAGTTCAAACAGACATGTATTAAATTGTATGTTCCGTTTTAATTTGGTTCAATCTATATATATATATATATATATATATATATATATATATATATATATATATATATATATATATATTGGTAATGTTAATATTTTAGAGGACCCTGTGAGAATTTTTGATCACGAACCAGCTCCGCCTCATTCTCTTTTAAAATTGTTTATTGACTTGTTCGGTCGAAGATCCACATCTGATTTGTTCTACACGAATGATGTTAGAGTTCTCATTGATATTATAGTTAGAAATATTTCGGATTTATCTACAGGGGATATGGTAAGTACTCGTTTCGAATTCGTAATGCTGTAGATTGCAAAGCTATGTAATTAACTCTAAAATATACTGTTATATTGTACAAATACTATAACTTATTATAGATTTAATACTTATAAAACATTTTATGATCGAAATAGCACGTAAACCATATGAACTTATCAATGAAATTACTAGAGTTAAGAGTTGTTAATTCCTGAAGAATGGCTAAGATCAACGTTTGTCCCTCTTTCGCACATGCTAAGCAGTGCAGTGATCATCGCACGATCAGTCTGATGAGCCATACCTTAACAATATTCCTCAAAATAATTCATAATAGAATTTACAGAAAATTGGAAGAAGATATCGGAGAAACTCAGTTAGGATTTCGGGAGGGATATGGAACTCGCGAAGCATTATTTGCCTTTAACATCTTGACACAGAGGTGTTTGGATGTGAATCAAGATGTATTTGCTTGTTTCATTGATTACAGCAAGGCGTTTGATAACGTCAAGCATGACCAACTTTTAGAGATCTTGAAAGCTAAACAGTTAGACACTCGCCATATAAGAATAATATCTACTCTGTATTATAATCAGAAGGCAGTTGCACGTATCGAAAATAGCACAACAAATGAAATTCAAATTAAAAAAGGAGTTAGACAAGGATGTGTGCTGTCACCAATGCTATTTAATCTCTATTCCGAAGAAATTATGAAGAAAGCATTGGAGGAAGAAGACATTGGGATAAAAGTTAACGGCCAACCAATTAATAATATTAGATACGCAGATGATACGGTTTTAATGGCGGAGACAGTAGAAGACTTGCAAGCCATTTTAAACAAGGTAGTCACAGCTAGTGACTAACAGTGGGTTAATTCATAACAAAGTTTTCAGTGTTTTATTATTGCATAAAATGAATTTCCATCAAGTAACGGTCGAATCCATCAATTATCTTCTATTTTTCAGAGAAGGCGGCAATACCTAGAACTATGCAGAAGAGTGATGCGCAACACGAACTACGAGGAACACAAACACAAAGTCGATGAAATACTGAAATGTTTTACCAGAATATTCTGCGAAGAAAGCGAATTCAGTAAATTCGATCAAAAATTAGTCAAAGAAATCTCCAATGAGTTTCCTCATTTGTTTAAGTAAACCAAACATATACTTATTTTGGCTGTTTATTTATATGTGATATTTTTCCAATTTCATTTTTTGATATCAAAAACGTTTTTAAATCGATGTAGTTTATTGTAGTTTAGTTATATAGAAGAAATCTATGAAAGTTGGAAATTGTGTGATAACAGATAAATTTGGTGACTATACTACCTATGCAACAGTTAATTTTATTGAAATATATACATTACGCAGTATATATTCTTTTTGCTCAGCTTGGGAATATTTTGACAGATTCATAGTCGGAAAAACCTAAAACAAAAATTCTTACTTCCAATTCTTACCTAAAACAAAAATTCCTACCTCACACTATTAACAGCTCAAATAAACTTAATTGCAGATTTATTTCATTGACAAAAGAAGAATTGTTAAAAATAGTGGTAGTGTAAAGTCACAAAAACTAAACTGGCTTGGTCACCTAGAAAGAATGCCAGATAATCGAGCTGTAAAAGTACTCTAGAGATGGAAGCCCTAAGGAAACAGAACAACACTTTGATCTCGCTAACCGACACCAAACGCCACGTCTGTACCATCGCCATCTCCAGCAGCAGTGCAGTGAGTAGTGAACAGTATAATGAAAAGAACTGTTGACTCAGGAGTTTTACCGAATTTACATTTATTATTTTATTTTTAATTTTCGGAGTATTTCTTGTTTGATTTTTTATTTGAATCCTAGAGGTCATTTGAATAATAGAAAGTTAAAGGTATTTTCATGAACGTTACATTTTGTTTATCGTGAACGTACTATAACAACATTATTTATCGGTTATCACACAAAACTTTGGAAACGGCCTGAAGATTCTAGTATGTGCTATATATTTTAATAGTTACCGTTAAGGAAGAGTTTTTATTCTATTTGTGATTATATTTTATCATTAAGAAGCACAAGAGTACTCTCTAATTTATAATAATTGATTATATTAGATTTTATTGCACGTTTTGTCATAATTTTTGCAATATTCTGCACTGTTACACGTATTAGTTGAATCATGTAATAACTTCATTTTACAGGTGAATTTTTACAAGTAAATCCAATAATACTGCTTTATTTTCTAAATTTACACAATACAACACGAGTGAGTAAATTTAGATATTGTTTATCATTCGTGATTGATTATTATATATATATATATATATATATATATATATATATATATATATATATATATATATATATATATATATATATATATATACTCCATTCCATGAATATACGACTGTTTTAAATTCGGTTTAAGGTATCGATTTAAATGGTCCAATGTGCTGAATTGTACAATAGTAAATTCTCCCCATTTTTAAAATACTGTTATGACAGATATAAACCTTAGATTTAAATATGAAGTCATGATATAAATATAGAGTTGATAGTTTATAGAACAGTTATAATTCAGATTTTGAAGTATACAGTTACTATCATTGAGTTTAGTATTGTAAACAAGTTGGTTTTTGAATTAAGTGATTTAAACGAAGTGTAACAATACTTAAGTGATTAAATAGTGTAATTTATATAGTCGAATATTCTACTTGCCTATGCCATTTAAACAAAAAAAAAAAAATATTCTCTTATTATCCTAATCTCCTGAAACCATCAAATTCATAGCCACAATCACTGTCGTCGCTATCCTCATTCGGATGGTAAATTATAATAGGATTAACTGCTTCGTTGCGACCTTCACGGATCCACCATTATTCAATTAAGTCTTCACATTTTTTTACACTTTTTTCCCAAATTTCAGTAGTGGCAATATTCAATGCTTGTTGCCATGTTTCCAAGACTGCCTCGTCACTGTAACCCTTGTATCCAATATGGTTATCATAATATGTTTTGCATATCCCCCAAATATATTCAATTGGATTGAATTGGCAATGATAGGGCGGTATTCTTAACACACGATGTCCAAAGCTATGTATAATTTCGTCTGCTATATATGTATGTTTAGTTGACTTTTAGCTAACGTTAGTAATTGAGGCTTAAAACTGTATTGAGGAAATGTAATATTTTTATTCGTTAACCATCCTTTTATTTTATCTACGGTCCAGGTGTTTGTTGGTTGCTTACTTAAAATTTCTGAATGGTACGCAGCATTATCCAGTACTATAAGGGATGGTTCATGTAAACTTGACAACAGTTTTCCTTTCAACTATTTCACAAACATCTCCGTATTCATATTGTCATGATAATCAGCTGATTTTGATTTTGATGAAAACACAAGATCTGCTCACTCGATAAAACCATGTTTTTGACCTGCAGGCACTATAATATATCTCTTTCCCTCGTTATCGATGTGTTTTATGGATTTTAAACTCTTGTCCTGCCAAACAAAGGAAGAACATTTTTTTTAAATTTGTTATAATTTCTTAAAAATTCTATTCTTTTGTGAACGACAAAGCCTTCCTATTGTTCTTATTTTTGAACTTCAAGCCAATCTGTCTTAAAACTCTTCAGAGACTTGTTCTGGAAATTTCAAATATATTTCTGTATTTTAATTTTTGTAGCACTGAATCTGAATAAACATGTTCTTTCTTTTCACGCATTTTGTATACTGTCTCACGGGTTTCAAATTTGCAACCTTCGGGAAGATCTATAGTCTGGTTGTCGGCGAGATTTATATTGTATGACATTTGCGAATGTCACACACTGTGTCACACACAATGACACTTTGTCCACTTTTTTTTGCTTTTTGCAAAACCAACTTTAGCTTTGTTCCACTAATACAGAGTGCATTACACATATGTTTATGTACGGACTGAACTGGTCTCAAAGGGCCCCCGTTGGTTTTCTCAACAGTAAAATAAGAAAGTACATTAAATATAAAGTTGTCTACATCTAAAACACGTTTCGGCATTTTGGGCTTCAATAAACAAATACACTACACTAAACTATCTCTTAACAGACACCTCTCTTCGTTTTTAGTTTTTAAAATTAAAATCGGCGATATATGAAACTGTATGTAAATTTTCGTTACTTTTTAATATCTGTAACGACTCGGCACTTTAACTATCAATAGCCGGTATGTTATACCCGTTACTTTCGGAACTTTTAAGAGTACATCCACTCAAAGCAAACAAATATTTAAAACTAACAAAGTGAAATATTAGATTCTTTTTCTGGTTTCTGAACCATCGTTCTGCCAATTTCTTTTCATTTATATTAAAAATAGTATATTTCTTTTTATTACAGTTGTAGTACCTAATAAAGTAATAAAATAGTGTAATATCAAAGAAACCCGGCACGCCTCTTTGGTGTTTACATTTCACCGAAACCAAACCAAAATGTCTGATGAACACATTTGGCTTCATAGATGTCATTGTATTTATTTGTAGGAGCGTTTGCGTAAAATTTTTTGTTATTTTCGGATTAAATTTCACAATAATATGTGCATGTATCTGAACATCTATTACCTGAAATAATTTTAGCTTAGATGTCATACTAACAGTAGATCCTTTTTATTGGAATAATGATTAGACCAATTTACTTTCATACTTCTACTTGCACAGTAAAATATTTGTTGTCGCAATAATCCAAAACAGTCGTATATTCGTGGAACAGACTATATACAGAAGATGAGCGCATAACATATTGTTTATTGGGATATTCCTACTAATTAGTCTATTAAATCAGATATTTGTAAAACTTTTTAGACTATTGATTTTTATTTTTTACATTTATTTTAAATATATTTTGCCAATTACCATATTCCTGATGAGTATACCGAGAATTGATATTGTATAGATTGTCTAAAAAGTGATTTTGATCTAAACGTTTGAGTTTAATTAGATTTTTTATCCATTTTATAAAAAATATAATAATTGTAGATGTGTATATGTATGTGCGTCAAGAATATGTAAAAGAAAAAGTACAAATCAAAGGAAGTGAATATTAGTATGAAGATACAGTGAAAAAATAAGAAAAACACAGTATTACCTCGATAAGTCTAGTCTAATCTTCTTCTTTAAGTACCATCTTCTTTAAGGAGGTTGGTATAAAATCATCACGGCTATTTTCACTTTTGGGACTGAAACTTGAGACAGATAAATGGAACTACATTAATACAATTTTCTCAGATTATTCACCAATAAAATTGTTCTTCCATTTCAATTTCTTTGAATTTTACGCTGCATTATAATTTGTAGCAATACCGTTGATTTGGTTTATTCAATCAACGGCAATACCTAGTTCTCTTCTCATTATCTAGCTACTGCAACTTTATTATTATCACCCACGAGTGTCTGATGAAGCAGGGATGCTGAAATGAGTTATAACTAGGCCGTGGATTATATATAAGTTACATATTTTTACAAATATTATATATATATATATTTAAAGATTGTTTGAAAAAAGTGCATATTTGTGGTAAATACATATATTTACCTACATATTTTCGTCACTTTACTCTGCAGTGGAAAACCCGAAAACCATTAAGATGTAATTATGCAGGGTCTGTCCGTTTATTTCTAGGTACTATTTACCTGAGCTCTTAACAATTCTTAATCTCCGCAAATTGAGTTGACCGACTTGGATGTGGGGCCTGGCATTAACCAGAAAAAATAATCATAAAATGAACTATTATTTATTTTTCATTTATAATTTGAATAGACTTACAGCTCCCGGAACGAATCGTGGCCGATGACAAACGCTGTCGTCGATCGTACACCCACCTAAATTTCAAGCAGACAGTATTGCTTTCCTGGACTTCAGTTCAGCGCTGCTTTTAGTTGAGTGTAAACGTATTTAATACATTGTTAAGAAAATGCCCAAAGTGAAATTTAATGTGCTGTGGATTAAACCGTACGCAGAACTTTAAATGGAAGGTGAAAATGTGTTCTGCACGGCATGTTCAAAAATTGAAAGTAACTTTTAATGAAAAAAAATTTGTATTTCGTTTATTTTTAATTCTCGTATTTATTAAACATACATCACTCTAAATATTAATTCTTGCTTCAGATTAACGCCTACACAAAATTTCACGTTCATCAGCAGGTCGAAACAACCAAATATACTGCAAATATAAAAAGGATTAGAAACGGGGAAATAAAGTGTATATCCCCAATTTTTAAGAATC